CCAGCACTCAGGAGGAATCTGAAATTACTCAGTCTTATAATGAGGGGAACACAGACAAGTTACCACAGCTAGAGGATCGCTTCACCATCAGGAATCTCCTTTTCCCTTCGAACACAGAGCCATCTCCTCTGTCTGGCTTTATTGTCAACATTTGCACCGGCGTACTTGGTGAGACGCACACAAAGGGCAGAGAAAACTGGATGAAAGTGCCAGAGTAATGATGCAGCCCATCATCTGATGTTCCATTTTATTCTTCACTTTAGGTGTTTTGGTGTGTGTCTTCAGTGTCGTAGCTGTTCAGGGAGGACTGGCTCCCTGGTCAATGTCTGTCCTCAGTGTTATCACGGTGGTTTGTCTGATTCTCACCTTCACTGTGTGCAGACAGCCACAGAGCAAGGCCAAGCTTGCCTTCAAGGTGCAGTGTGTTATTTCTCCTAAAAGCAAATGTTTTATTGTTGCTTAACTGCTGTTAGGTAAAATTTTATGAATAGAGCAAACAATGAAAAGGATTTGCTTTTCAGACATTAGTAGTAGTGCACTAATTTCATTCTTTTGATTTTGGGTCTTTATTAAAATGACCTTGCAATGACCTGAAACTTGCTTGACTATTGATATTATAGTGAACATTTCCTCACTTTTAATTTACAGTATGGTGATGCAGTCAGTCTCCTTGCAACTGCATTAAAATATTTTAATTCCTTAATAAAACAATCCCAGTGGCTACCTGGAAAATATGAAATATCCTTAAATTTATGGCAGGCCTTTTAAAAATGGTTTGACTCAAATGAACCTGTTTCTTATTCAAGCCTGTCACTTTAATAATTAAATCAGGCAGGAAATGTCCTCAACATGCTGTAGCTTCAATGGAGGATTTTAACACGAAATACAGAGGATGTGCAGTACACAGTGTCACCCATCAGTGTCTTTCCAAAGATCTAAGCTTGTAATGTTGTTCTAACTACACACTCTGTCCTCACAGGTTCCCCTGCTTCCCTTTATCCCGGTCATTAGTATGTTCGTCAACGTGTACCTGATGATGCAGCTCGACAAAGGAACCTGGATACGCTTTGCCATCTGGATGATGTTAGGTACCTTGGGGTTTTTTACGTCAACAATAATCTCTACTGTGCTTACGCTTTGTTGTGAAGTGGAATAAATGTCCTTGCATTAATGTTTCGACAACATTTCTAGGCTTCATTATCTACTTCGGCTATGGCATTCGTAACAGTGCAGAGGCATTGTTGACCAAGGCGGGCACCTACACACCAGCCTGCACAATAAAAGGCGAACCCATGGCCACAGAGAAAGAGGCCTTTTTACACAACACACAAAACACCACCCGAGACGACAACTTGGAGGATTCCTGAGGAGACAGGAGGTTCACTGATCTACTCTGGCTGTGTTACTATCATCATAATATATTTACATATGGTAAATTCTCGGAAATAGCTT